CGGTCCATATAAATTATGTTAAGAGTGGGTAATCAGCTCCCATTTTTCTACAGCAAGCTAATAGCACTGTCAGAAGAACGAAGAAGGGAAATTGTCCAGCTTGACCAGCTCAACCTTTGTTAAGGCTGCCTGTGGTCCCGCCACGCCAACCTCCTGCTGTCTCGGTGAGTTCTCCTCCCCGAGGAGAAGCAGATGAGCAACCTTGTTTCAAGGTAAGCGCCGAGGAATATTTCTCAGTTGCTGGTCGCTACACGCTGGATGACGCCATCTTTTATTTTTCCTTTTATCGCCGACTCACGGAGCGAATCGGATGGTTCCTCCAGGACAGGTGACGTCAGCAGCAGCCCTCGCTGCTCACTCTCTCCTGGAGAGTGTAGTTTCGGAACGAGGGGGGCTGAGCGAATGCTCACCCCCCCGGACCTTTTTTGCATCGGCGACCACACCGCTCCCAGCTGTCGGTGCCCTCCTCTGGAGTTTCCCGGCATAATTCAGGAGGCAGCTGACATGAAGGGACTTTTTTCCGTCCCTCTCCTTCCCCCACCCAGATCGGATGATCTAGCGGGAAGGTTTCTTGGCTCCACCCCAGCTCGCTGTCCTGATCCCATCTGGCCTCGTTTCCCCAGCAGTGACGTCCTAATGGAACGAGGCTGCAGCCGGATCTGGTAGACTGAGAGCGCCGGTTTTCCACATCCGTGCCCATCACCAAAGTGGAGGGTTTTTTTACCGAGCGGAAATTCCCTCAACCTGTGTGCCTCGTCTGCTGTCTTCTTTGTCTCGCATCGCAGCCTGGATGAAAATGGTTCAGAGGTCCACCTGGCTTGTCACTCCCCCTCCCTGTTGGAGAAGCTGCAATGGACTCGCTGGAAGGCCCTATCACTTTGGACGCACTGTTCGGAGCCAATGTTTCAAGCCGAAGGAGGTGTCGGAGACTGTGCGCCATCTGATTAAGTCGCACCCCTCCTCTCGCCCCCCCCACCCCCACCCCCGCCCACTGGAGAGAGTGCCGTGGCCGAGACAGTAGAGACGCTCCTCAGCTGC